GGTTTCCTCAGACATCACAGCTTAGTTACAATCATTTCTTAACATTTGAATAAGCAGTAAGCTAAACAGTGTTGTCTACCTATAGTACGTGAAATGCAGCTGCTGCAATATGACAGTGCTGGTGAAGTTGCAGAGAGCGTGTTTAAAAAAGGTTTAAGTGGCACCTCTCTTATCACTTTTGGGGGATATGAGTATACCTGTCATGTAGTTGGTATTTCTCTCTCACTTCCTCCAGAACAAGTCTCTTTGGTCCCTCTCCACCAATAAGGAATTGCAGATCTGGGTGTTTGTGGCAGAGCACTGGGATTATTCCACCAAGAAGGTCGATACCTAAACAGAGGAAGAGTTGGTGAACACTTGCTATAAAAAGAAAATGATGCAATTCTTAATTAAAGCTAATTACAGGCTGACAGAAGCTGACTATTTTAAGATGTATGAATGTTTAAGAATCAGATATTTATATTGAATGATTTTATGACTCTAACACCGTCCCTGGAATAACTATTAATGCAAGTTTGGTTTGTGCAAACTCAAGCGTTTTGAAGCGTTATTCACCAAAATTCACATTCTGCTGATACCCACTGTCCAGCCAAAATGTAATCAATAAGCTTAAATGTCTAATACAAGAGCTTCTCAGTACCTTTGCGGTAGACGAGACGGCTGACAACAACAATAGTGATCCTGTCGTCTTGGCGCTGGGAGGGGTCAGGGGTGAAGTCAGTAGGGTCGACAGCGTTTGGAATAACAGACACTATCTCTGGGTTGAGTGCTGCGCGGAGCACCGTGTTCTCCTTACTGGTGTAAGACACGCACACAGTGTGGTTGGTGTCACACAGCGACACCGTCAGAAGCTTGTTGGTCAGCACGGAGCTCACATCAGCAAACCCGAAAAGTGAGTGGTCGGTGAAGACCTGAAAATGAAAATACGCTTTAATTTCAGCAGAATATGTGCTGTGAAATGCTTTCCGAGACCTGGCTCATAATAAGTCAATTACCGTGGTCAGGCCCATGGTCTTGGCGTGGAACAGTGCATCATGGCCCATGGCGGAGAACGAGCTGTGTGCATGCACCACAGTGATGCGTTCCCTTACAAACACACAGCGCATCAGTGGGAGACTGTGGAAGCAGGTGGTGGCTGTGGACTGGTTGTACATCACCTGCAGGGGAAGGTAGTAGACCTTCAGTCCGTTGGTCAGGTGCCTGACACCTTTCCTCCTGCCATAGGCATGCGTGACAATGACCACCTTATGTCCTTTTTCAATCAAACACTGCGATAGCTGGTAAATGTGACTTTCTACTCCTCCCATATTTGGGTAGAAGAAGTCTGACACCATGCAGATGTTGTGCTTCCTGTTGGGGGGTCCAGCAGCCTCTGCGGGAGCTGCAGATGTTCCCTGAGATGAAGTGTTATTCACAGCTGCCGCTCTTCTTCGTTGGCCCATTGTAGATGCCTTGTGTGTCTCTGATCCTTACTGAAATAATACGTTTAATAATCGGTTAATAAATGAAAAGCAAAATGAATGGGTGAAATATGTGTTTCGATAATAATAAATAAGTTAAATAAAATTTCAAGCAAAAATAACATAGTTTAATGTAGAAACAGTACAAATACATGTCCCAACCACTTTGAATATTAAAAAATAACTTATCTCATTTATGACCAAGAATGCCAAACGCTCCCTTTTTCCACATTTTTAAATTGGGTTGAACTTTTCTCTTATTTTATTTTTATTACAAAGGATATATCTGTTGGGCTGTCTATCATTGTTTATTTGATTGTCATTAAGTATTAAAAAATGCTAATTTGGTTTTCTCAGATCAAAAGTTGACATCTTTAATGTGTTTATTCAACAACAATGCAATAATTAAAGCTATTAAGTTAAATGTTAACTTGTTCATTCAAGAAGATGAAACAAAAGCTATTTATGGTTTATGTTTTTTATGAATGACTTCAAATTGTTTATTTATTATAAAAAAGGGAATGATAACTAGACCCAACCTTTCATTTCAGCACTAACTACATTCAACTGAAATTGAAAAGATTTTATTGATTTATTATCATTAGCACAACAACTACAGACAAGCAGTATTTGCAGTAAACATCTTTGTTGAGGCTCTCAAAAAAGTTAGTTTAATTTGTAAGCCATAAAAACAGTAAATGCTAAATGCAAGTTCAAATAAAAGGAACATATTGAATACAGTTATATACATTTGTGGCAGACAGTATTTCAAAGGAATATACTGAATGTAAAGAGCCATGTCGTGTGTAGCAATGTATTTTTAAAATAAGAAATATATATATATAAAGTTGTACAGCGATGTAAAAAGTATGTAGTAATAATGGTCCATGATAATAGGTTATAACTAAACTCCAGGTACTTGATAGTGAATCAAGCATCATAAATAAATAATAGAATATCTGTTATAAACCACCCCTGGTACTGTCAGTGTAAATTAGCTTCTGTCTAAGCATTAGTAGAGTGAATAATCCCTTCAACTTGCATTAACTATGCGTTAAATATAGTAAGATATTCAAGCTTGCTCATCAGCACATATAGACAGTATTTACAAAACAATACGTGAGGGGACAATCTGCCAAATATAAACCAGAGTTTTAGTTCTGTTTACGTTAGCATCAAGCTAACACACTTTTTCATACGTAACCACTTTACTGACTTTAAAAGAGAGTTTCCTATCCTTCCTAAATGCCTTACCTTGGACGAAATGTCAATTCTGTTTCAGACTGGGAAAAAACACAAAACTCCTTTTCAAAATCATTTCGACTCGACAGTCCTGAGCTAGCATGTTAGCCACCTGTATCACTTCCTGGTGCGCTACTACGTCACACGCAATGACGTACCACGGTGATGTTGTTTCACATTTATTTTTTACACAGTATATAATTTAGATCCAGACGTTACAAGAAATGTAGTGTTATCGTGTTCAATATTTTTCAGGAGTCATTAAAGTAACCACATATAGACGTTTGTAAATCAAAAAGGTTAAATTCTTTCATAGAATGTTTTACACTTACATGTATGTTGTTGGATTAGGGCAGGCAATGAATATATCACTAACCTTTATCATCAATCTGGGTTATTTTCTCATAAAGCAGATGACTTTTCATTAAACGAATTTTATATTTATTAGATAAATACATATTCCACAAAGCTGTTCCTTCCATCTGTCAAGACGTTTGTGACGTGACATTATATTTGACATTTTATTTAACATTGACACTTTTTTTTTTTTAAGTCTTCAGCGTCACAAAGGAAGCCCCCCTTTGATATAATTTACTTTTGGAATATAACTTCTATGATAGATTGGCTAAGGCTAGCACAAATGTACATACTTCTAATATGAAAAGACGCCATGATCTATATTTGTACAGCTATGACTGATTTAGTTTAATTTATAACCTATTTAATTTAAATGTGAATGGTGTGTATTTACAAGGTAGTGCTGGCTGTTGAAGGTATGTATGAGATCAAAGAGGGAGGGAGTTTTTACTTGATAAGTTTGAAGTCATGAACTTATCTGAAATTGTTGAAATCCATGAAAATGTTCTGTGATATTGTTGCTGATTTAGTTGTCTGCCTATAATATAATATATGATATGACCTATAATATAAGCTCCATTAACCAGTCACAACATGAAATGTATTCAACAGTGACAAACTCCCCAAGAATGAGGTAAAATCATAGACTGGGTAAAATGTAACGGTATCATGCTGACACGCAAACAACAAAGCAATTGATAGAAAGAAAGTAACAATGACTAAAGGATACAAACAACATTCGGATTTAGCAACTGAAAGTCTAAAGACAAAAGGGTTTAAGGCTTGTTTACTTGTTCTTACAAAACATTACAATATATTACATTACATTCATTAGCTGAGAGAAGTGTGTGCTAGAGTGTATGGTTTAACCTGGATGTACTAAGACAGGCTGGATCCCTTCACAGCACGGTAGGCCAGAAGCAGTATCTTGAAGCGGATTCGAGCAGCCACTGGCAGCCAGTAAAGGGATCGGATGAGTGGTGTCATTGGTTGCGTTGCCTTCTTGGTCAGTACTGGACCCAGCAAAGCATTTTGAAATGTTTAACTTTAAACCTTTGTTGAAAAGTTCACACATTATGCAGTGCACCAACTTCTTTTCAGACTTGGAAAGATGAATCATTGTGTGCTTGTTTGGTTGTCTAACCATTATTCACATACATTCGTTTTCGGTGTCAGACCTCTAAATGTCACAAAACTGTCACAGACCTTGATGTACTATATTACATACAATGACCATAACCTATTTATTTACAAAAGTATTACAAATCTGTACTTAGTGAACCATGTATAGGGAAGTTATGGCATATACAGAAGAAAAAAAACGCACCATCATAAAGGAATAGAAGAGATTTGATCATCAACGTTAAAGAAACAAGAAAATCACAGTATACAGTAAGTCACCCATAGGTAAACACATGTCTTAGACCTTCTACACATTTCTGCGTTTCATTTTGTTCTAATGTGAAATCAAGATTTATAGTATTTGTATTGTGCTATAAAAATATCACCTTTGTGTTATATATGAAAATAATATTTGCAATTTAAAATATGGTTGCATATAAAAACATAATACATATTTCCTATGATTGTTGCAAAAGCTTGCAATATCAGATAAGGTCCAACATCTTCAATTTGAAGGCAGACATGTTTACCATTAAATGGCTCTGTTTTATACAGTATTTTATTAATAAAGTATACGGGACTATATATGAATCAGCTTAACTGTTGTGTGTATTAGAGACTTTTGAAAAGAAAAATAAGTAGCATCATACAAACATCCACAAGAGTTCACAAAATGGACATTTAAAAAAAAAGAAAACCACATTCCCAGAGGGGCATGAACACAGGATGTAACCTGCCTGTTTCTTTGCAGGCATTGTCAATCTTACACATGACTAACCACAGTGTGGTTGAAGGTGCTTTCACTTTTCTTTTTTTTTTCCGCAATACAGTTTTGTCCTGTTTTGTTAGCTTTTGAAGTTGTTGGTCTCAACTTGTTGTATCCAGGGTAAACTCCTATATCAAAGACAGAAGATATGGAAAGATAAAACACAACGTCCAATGTCAACACAATTACTTATTTCCATCTAACTCTGTTTTTCCCCTTATCATTTATTTCTTATATTTATCTTCCTCTCTTCTTTACACATGAACACATTTTGTTTAGTACACACAAATTGGTTTAAACACATTCTGTATTATTCTGTTAGTTTTTTCCCCCTATATTTTGTCATTTGATTTACTTTCTATTATCTTGTTTGGCTGTTTGTGTCAAGTGTTGTGCAACTGTGGTTAAACGAGTAAACCTGAAATACAAACTGCTTTAGAATCAGATCTTGGCATTATGACAAACACTTACTATGAGACGTTCCTACGGCACCACAAGAGCAATGAAAGTCCAAGCACAAACATAATGGGAATGTAAAAGTAGCTTCTTCGTTGGTCCTTGCCGTAGTTGTAGACTAGTTTAGATTGAACATTTTTATCTGTGTCAGAAAAATGCCAAAAAATGCCATTATTTGATGGTCCATCCTAAACGTTACTTTAGTTATTTTAAGATATGTTGCATGATGAATGATACAGATAATATCATTATGCTTTTTGCAGAGTAGTATTGAACAATAATTCCCAACCTTTATTAAATAAATTAAATCAAATAAATACCTGCATTGCAATCAGAGCTGTTGTATGTTGCTATGTCTTTGGCCTTGACGCGACATCTAGGTGCTGAGGTCCAGTTGAGAGTAGTGTTGAGTTGGCTGTAGAATTGGATTAGGCCAGTAGGATCATCCGGGTTGTATTTTTGAGTTATATTAGTGGTGATTGAATTTTGCAGAGGCACTCCATCCAATTCCCACTCAATCTCTGTCTTGTTGTAGCGTCCCTTTACATTACACTTGAAAACATTTACACCTCCACTGTTGTCGGCTGTCTGAAAAACACTGTAGCATGCTGGTGAGGGAAGACTAAAGTTAAAGTTGTGCAAGATTGTATTACTCTTACTGTTAATGGGTTAAATAAGAGATTGGTTGATTTGCAAAATGAATTAATGACTTACCATAAATGTTTAGAGTTACATAGGATTTTGTGTATTGCTCATCAATGTAAAAGCTGCATCTGTATCTCCCCTGGTCCTCTGCTGTGATGTTGGTGAGGAGAATTGAGCAGTTTTCTCTGTTCTCAGACAGAAAGGCTTTTCCTCTTTCCTTATATTTGCCACAGAATGTTTCAGTGGTCTGTGTGTGTTTGAACACCTGCATCGCATTTGGGTGTTCTTTCTCCCACTCAACCTCTATGCTCTCATTTCTGTCTGAGCAGGCGCATGGCAGAAGGAAATTGTGTCCTAGGGTGCCATTGATAGTTACATGTTCATCTACAACATAAAAAGTACATTCGGGTAAGTCCAGTTTCCAGACTCTCGTCAAAATATGAGTTTTTAACATACAGTGTTAAACATTGAATTCTGTAATGATTTGCCACTAGGGGTCTCTCAATCAAACAGTAACAAATCCTGGTAATTGTCTTCACTGCCATTGTTATAATTAATGCAGTGTGGTTAAGATTTCTTGATAGCTGATTTTCTTTTCAGACTTATTCGCAGGGGTCGCTTCCTCTCCAAAAAAACCTGATTAGGTGATTTAACAGGTAAAAAACATGAATAAATAAGTTTTGTGTTAAAAATTCATGTGGACACTAATGAAAAGGTCTGCACATTTGCTCCGTTTCTACTCTGAGGACTAAAAACCCTCCATTAAGATATTTATTTAAAAGTATCTGAATAGTGTATCTTAAAAAGGGAAGTGAGTATGATATATAAAATGGAGAAAACAATAGTTCCGTGGGGGCTTTCAGGACATCCTGTGCATCTGATGAGTGTTTTGGTCTATTGTGATAAGGCGACCACCTGGACCAATTGGTGTTGTCTGACATGTAAGGGATCTTTGATGTATTCCTATAAAGAGTCTGTCCTACAGACATCACCACACACTCTTGGGGAGGCGTCATGCATGCACGCATTACAGATCTTAAAGGACTTTAGTGTTTCTTTGCATAGTTGCCTAACTCATAATTTTCTCTAAACAGCAGCTGATTTTAAGTTGCGACGAAATTTCCATTCCTGCCACCATTCTAATTTTTCTAGTGTTTGTTTGGAACAGATTTTTATTAATAAAGCTCGCTTTTTGTTCATACTTTTATACCCCAATCTCTGTATATTAATATATATATATAAATATTCTGCATTTGGGTCCTGATAACCTTCTGTTCCTGATAGACATACTGGAATGTCTAACAAAGATAGCATCAGCTTCCAACCATACATCTGCAGTGAACGTATCACAAACACACTGATGTCTGCTTTCATTTTTGTTTGTTTTTTAACATTATTTGTATTTACTTCCATATTCCATGGTAACATTTTCAGTGTGTTTAGAAGGAACTCACAACGTGGTTCCTATTTACATTTTCAAATCATTTTAATAACATCCCATTCTGTATCAGAGTTATTGACTAATTCGATATCTCCATTCTGATCTGTAGTTCAAACAACTGCACAGCCACTCCTTAACTGCACACTTTCCTTTTGTTTGTATTGGGCAAACAGAAAGGTATACATAGTTATTGACAGACAAATGTGAACAATTTGAAGCTCCAGTCTTACAGATATTCAAAATAAAGTTGTTTAGTTTCAAACAAGAAAAAAAAAGTCATATTTTGATGTCGCAGCAAAATTATGGAAACACGTGATTCTTTATGGTTTTTCACTGTACTTTGTGTGTAGGTTAGATGTTGAAAAGACGGACCTATAATTAAAATCATACAGAAATAATTGCATCACTGGAAAGTTTGGAAACCATATCAGTTCAGCTAAATACAACAAAAACGAATTGATGGCACAAAAGTTACATTTATGGTAAGCCTTTTCGTGACGTCAAGGCAGGGCTTAGGTTCCTCTTTATTCACATTAAATTATCATTTTTGAGGGTTTTCATTGCTAACGGCTGTTTCTTTGTTAAAGTTGCGAAAATAACTAATACATTGAAATGTAAAATTAGGCAACCACTAAACGCACGAACGAAAATGCAACATGTGTATAAGAGTTACACATCTACCAGTATTGTCCAAGGTCCACATGCTGAAGTAGCTTACACACTTACATTCACAATTAAATATCCCATGTAACATGGAACTGTCATAATTCTTCAGGATATGAGGTTAATGTTGAGTGGTTTGTATTGAGGCTTACCTGCTGAGACAGTTACGACGATAAACACTGCCAGGAAAGTTCTCATGTTGCGACTCAGTGTCTAGAGGATATGCTGTGAACTTGGCAGCCTATTACAATTTCGAGAAGAGATTCTTATTCTAATTTCCTCCGTGTAGTAGAGGTATTTTCTTCACTAGCCAACATTTTCCAAAATCCGTTCAATGAGCCAGAAATCCTTTTACGTCCGAAGTGAAAGTAACACATGTGGTCGGAGTTTCCGGAGCAGCAGACCATCTTAAAAATCATTACAAATACGTCAGTATCTGCCTTGTCATCGATAAATGAGCCTCCCACCTACGCCTTCGTCCCTCGCGTTTGCTTGGTCAAATGAGCGACTCTTCATTTTTGAGTGCGCGATTTATCGCCCATTTACGGTAATCTGAGAAGCGGCACTGACGCTAGTACAAGAATAAAATAATGCATTTTTGTTCTGCTTTATTTGTGATACAAATAATTGTTACCATAAGTTCTACATGAAATGTATACTGTTGGACTCAGTAGGCTAATTGTTAGACCACTGCCACAAGTACAATGAAGTATTTGTACTATACTTTTCGAGTAATCCTCTGTCAAACCCCTCCTGAGAACAATAATGCATGTATTCTGCTATATTTGATGAGGGATAAAATGATTTTTTGCAATAAATTCTACATGAAATTGATACTGTTGGACTCAGTACTACTTGGACTACTACCACAAATACAATCAAGTGTTTTTACTGAGTACTTTTCGAGTAATCCTCTGTCAAACTCCCTCCTGAGTACAATAATGCATGTTTTCTGCTATATTTAATAAGCGTTAGAAAAATGTTCTTCACAATACGGATAATGTTGGACAGAGTGTTTTAAGAGGATGACATCAACAGTAGATCCACTAGAATCGATCAATACTCTAGCAGCAGCATTGTTACCCCTTGGAAAGTCAGAGACTATCTATCCTGGATAGCTGTTAACAACTTTCCTTCACCTCAGTGACACACCCTTAGCCGGGTTCACACCGCAGTACTTTTCTCACTTTAGTTCCGATATAGTTCCAAAATGTCGCGTTCACACCAAAAAGAGCCGGAACTCAAATTAGTTCATGAGAACCTTTTTACCCCCTTTTCCGTCCCTGCTAGAGAGCAGGGACTTTCGTGGGAGAAAAAGGTTCCTATTTCTGATTGGCTGGGCGGATTGCAAACCACGCCCCGTAAAACTCAAAAAAAGCTTTGTGAAGCCGTCATTTTATTATCCTAGCATTAGCATTATTAGCATTAGCCCAGCGCAGAAACGCAGAGACTCACTTATGGCAACACAAAATAAAACATGGGAGCGGTGAATATGAGGAGGTGTCGGCGTTCTGGCGATTTACTCTGAAGGCTTCAGTAGAAGCTGCTGGGACAGCTCCCATGTTTTATTTTGTGTTGCAATAAGTTAGTCTGTGTTTCTGCGCTGGGCTAATGCTAATGCTAATAATGCTAATGCGAGGATAATAAAATGGCGGCTTCACAAAACCTTTTGGGAGTTTTACGCATGGTTTTACGGGGCATGGTTTGCATTCCGCCCAGCCAATCAGACATAGGAACCTTTTTCTCCCACGAAAGTCCCTCCTCTCTAGCAGGGACGGAAAAGGGGGTGAAAAGGTTCTCATGAATTAATTTTAGTTCCGGCTCTTTTTGGTGTGAACGCGACATTTCGGAACTATATCAGAAATAAAGTGGGAAAAGTACTGCGGTGTGAACGCGCCTATTGGCTAAGGGGCGGGATATCTCTAACAGAGCCGGCCAGCTAACCAATCAGCAGACTGGGCTCTGGTTTCAGACAGTGTGAGAAAAATAAAGAGCTATTTGAACATGAGAGCATGGAGACATGTCACAGGAGAGACACTACATACTGATATGAACCTGAAAATGTGCGTGATATGTCTTTTAAAATGTAGTTTTACCTGTTACATGAAGACCAACCTGGTCAAAGTGACACTGATAGGAGGACATGTGTGTTTAGGGTTTCTCTGTGACCAAAGAGAACAGACAAAAACTGAACTAATAAGATTTGCACAAAAGGAGAAGTTTGACAAGCTGCCTATTAATTACTTTCTCTTTTTTTTATTAAAGTTCCCATTTTGTTGGTGGAAAAACGAAGCTAAGGCTAGCAACCAGTTAGCATAGCTCAGCATGAAGACTGAAAAAGGGGAAACAGCTGCCCTGGCTCTGTATAAAGGTAACAAAATCCTCCTTCTATCACCTCCAAAGCTCCCTCATTAACATATTATATGTCATCTGCGAACAAACTGAAGTGTTGAAACAGCAATTCATCATTTCCCAGAGTGTATGAACCAAACTAGGGTCTGAGTGCAGGACAATGGGTGAACTGTAATATCTGCTGCAGGCCGGCGGCTGTCAGAGGAACTGGATCTGATGGAAACCAGTCGGACAGCGTCTGAACCAGCTGCAGGAGACACACACCTCTACTGTTACACACTGAGACACACACATATACTGCTACACACTGAGACACACATCTACTGCTACACACTGAGACACACACATCTACTGCTACACACTGAGACACACACAT